TGTTTTAGCTGCAAATAGAAATTGGCCTTTAATGCATCTGGATGTGAAGTCTGCATTTCTGAACGATCCATTACAAGAATAAGTTTACGTGTCACAACCTCCTGGATTTGTGAAAAACAATCAGGAAGGGATGGTATAAAAGTTGAATAAAGCTCTGTATGGACTGAAGCAAGCGCCCAGAGCATAGAATCTGAAAATCGATTCGTTTTTCAAAAGGCAGAACTTTCAGAAATATGAGATGGAATATGGCGTTTATGTGCAACACTCTGATAACAATATAATTCTAGTGTGTCTCTATGTTGATGGCATTTTGCTAACAGGTAGTTGCCCAAAAGATATAAAGAAGTTCAAAGAAGTTCCGATGAATGAGTTTGAGATGACAGATCTAGGAAAAATGACATATTTCCTAGGAATGGAGATTCTGTACTCAAAGAAGGGTATCATTCTGCATCAGTTGAAATACGAACTTGAACTTCTGAAGAGATTTAAGCTGCAGAATTACAAAGTTGTTGTGACACCATCAAAAACCAATCAAAAAATGGATTCTGACTCTGATGGTGATTCTGTTGATACTACAACCTTCAAACAATTGGTTGGTTCTCTAAGGTATTTATGCAATACTAGACCTGAAATTTGTTATGCAGTTGAATTGGTTAGCACATTTATGAGTAATCTAAAGTGGTCTCATTTCCAAGTTGTTGTCATAATTCTGAGATATATCAAGGGAACCTTGAAATATAGAGTGATGTTTCCTTCTGAAAGAAAGACAGAACCATAATTAGTAAGTTATTCTGATTCTGACTGGTGTGGAGACAGAGTAGACAGGAGAAGTACTTCTGGATACTTGTTTAAATTCTGAGAGGTCCCATTTCTTAGAGTTCCAAAAAATAGCCTGTCGTGGCTCTATCAACATGTGAAGCTGAGTGTATCACAAGTGCTGTAGCTGCTTGTCAAGTTGTTTGGCTTCTGAATCTCTTGCATAATCTGAAGGTTGAAGTTGAAGAACCTCTGAAGCTGATGATTGATAATAAGTCTGCAATTGATCTTGCCAAGAATCCAGTGCTACATGGAAGAAGCAAGCACATTGAGACGAAGTATCATTTTCTCAGAAGTCAAGTACAGAAAGGAGTGTTAGAAGTTCTGCACTGCAACACTCAGAAACAACTAGCAGATCTTCTGACGAAGACAGTTAAAATAGATCAATTTCTTCGCTTGAGAGATGAAATTGGTGTTGTTAGCTTCTGATAGAATATCTAAATTAAGGGATGGTATTGGAAATATAATTTAGTTAATGTCTATAATTCCCAATGCTTATTCTTTAATAGAGCCTTTTGGCATTTTCAATATTTAGTATAAATATGCTATACTAGTCTATCAATATTGTACCCCTAATTTTATCTCCTCTACTTTTGATATACAACAGTAGTCTTGTTATCATTCTTTTGTTCATTCTTCTTCTCCCACTTCATTACCTTGCACCAACAAAAATTACGGATGAAGATATGAACACAAACTCAAAATTCTGGATAAAATAGTATTCTTGTCTCTAAGTTAGCGTGTTTTTTGTTTTAATATTTGTAATCTAAATCATTTTTTTTTATTTTAGTCCCTAATTCTGGGTGTGTGTTCATATCTTCATCCACAACCTTCATACAAACTCTTTTTTTTTAAATCGATGAGAACATATGTGTTTGTTTATAAGCATGTTGCATCTTCATTGATCATTCTTTGATTACACATTAACTGATTTTACTTCCAAATAATAAAAATAATAAAAAGAACACGATTAGTATTCATTTCCATTATTTCATTCTCTCTTTTCAACTTTCTCAATCTCTCACTTCTCTCTTCACCACCCATCATCTAAAACTCATAATTTTGAATTTCTTTAAACCTTTATCATTCGTGCTCATTCAACAACCTAGTAACTCAATAATATACAATATTTCTTTAAACTTCAACCTAAAAAACTGTGAACATTCTTTAATCTTTAATCCAAAAAAACAAAAACCTTCATCTATATTCATACTTTCTTTTAGCTTCAACCTAGAAAACCTTCATAACTGAGAAAATCTCGATTTTCCTTTCACCTTCAACTAAGCAAATCAAGAACATCAAGAACACCTCACCCAACTTTTTTGTCAACTTCTCTTTAGTGATTCCAAAAATATATTTCAATTGACTTATCATCATCATCTTCGCCATCACACAAAACCCATAAACCTTCATCCAAATCCCCGAAATCAAAACCCTAATTTCAAGATTATATTCACTATCCAAACTTAGAAAAAAAACACATATGTTCTCATCGTTTTGAAAATATTATGGGTTTGTATAATGGTTGGAGATGAAGATATGAATACAAACTTAGAATTAGGGACTAAATCCAAAAAAAACATTTAAGTTATTAGGACTAAAACCTAAAATGCACTAGCTTACAGGAGCGAAAATACTAGTTAATTCATAATTCTAGGTTTGCGCTCATATCTTCATTCCCAACTTCATATAAACCTATAATATTTTCAAATCAAATTTTTTTCTTTGAACAATATCATGGTCTTTGAAATGAGTTTGATCAGAAATTAACATAGAGACACAAAAATATTATTTAAAATTTTATATTAATAATCAAATGTATCAAAAATATCTCATATACATTAATAATCAAATGTAAAAAAAAAAAAAAGTTAAATATTATTTATAATAGTGTTCCTATGAATTATGGTAAAAATTTTGGTAGCAAGATTTTTTGGTTGGGTATTTAAGCAACTAACATTTGAAAAATGGCATTTAACATGAGATGGTCAGAGTCAAAGGCAACAACTTTTCAAAGTGCTTCTTTATCGTCTCTCGCTCTTCGTTTCCGTTCTCTTCTCCGACAATGCGCACGCGCCACCGCCCTCCGTCCCGGCAAACAACTCCACGCCGCCGTAACCGTCACTGGCCTTCTCTCTTTTCCAAACCTTTTTCTCCGCAACGCCCTTCTCCATCTATATGCAGCATGCTCTCTCGCTTCACACGCCCACAGACTGTTTGATGAAATTCCTCACTCGCATAAAGATTTGGTAGATTACACCACTCTCATACGTCGCTGTTCTCCCCTTGAATCCCTGAAATTGTTCCTCCAAATGCGTCAGCTAGGTCTTCCTTTTGATGGGGTCGCAATGGTTTGTGCCCTCAATGCTAGTGCAAGACTTGGGGACCCCAAAGTTGGGTCTCAAATGCATGTTGGTGTGGTTAAGTTCGGGTTTGAGAAGTTTGACAAGGTGTGCAATGCTTTGATGAATGTGTATGTCAAGTTTGGGCTTGTGGGTGAGGCTAGAAAGGTGTTTGAAGAGATTGAAGTTCCTAGTGTTGTGTCATGGAGTTGTTTTTTGGAAGGTTTAGTGAAATGGGAGAGTGTGGAGAGTGGGAGGGTTGTATTTGATGAAATGCCTGAGAGGAATGAGGTTGCTTGGACTGTTATGATTGCTGGTTATGTTGGGAATGGATATACAGAAGAAGCTTTATCACTTATGGAAGAAATGGTTTTTGGGTATGAGTTTGGGTTGAATTGTGTTACCTTGTGTTCTGTTTTGTCAGCTTGTTCTCAATCTGGTGATGTGTGTGTCGGCAGGTGGGTTCATGCTTATGTTGTTAAGGAAATGGGGTTGGATTTTGGTGTTGTGATGGGGACTAGTTTGGTTGATATGTATGCAAAATGTGGAAGGATAAATGCTGCATTGATGGTGTTCAGGAACATGTTAAAGAGGAATGTGGTGACTTGGAATGCTATGCTTGGTGGGTTGGCAATGCATGGGATGGGGAAAGTTGTGGTGGATATATTCTCTTCCATGGTGGAAGAAGTGAAACCTGATGGTGTGACTTTTATGGCCTTGTTAAGTGCTTGTAGCCATTCAGGTTTTGTCGAAAAGGGTTGGAAATATTTTCATGATCTTGAGTCTGTTTATGGGATCAAGCCAGAAATCGAGCATTATGCTTGCATGGTAGGTATTCTCGGTCGAGCTGGACGTTTAGAAGAAGCTGAAATTTTTGTGAAGGAGATGCCAATTCCTCCAAATGAGGTTGTTTTAGGGTCCTTTCTTGGTTCTTGTTTTGCACACGGTAAGTTGCAGCTAGGGGAAAAGATCATGAAAGAGTTAGTTGAGATGAATCCTCTCAACACCGAGTATCATGTCCTGCTTTCCAACATGTATGCGTCGTCTGGAAAAGTAGACAAGGCGAATTCGCTTAGGCAGGTTCTGAAGAAAAGGGGTATCAGAAAAGTGCCAGGAATGAGTTCCATATATGTTGATGGCAAACTTCATCAGTTCATTGCAGGGGATAAGTCACACACAAAAACTTCAGAAATTTACATGAAATTAGATGAGATGATTTGCAAATTGAGGCTGGGTGGCTATGTTCCGAATACAAGTTGTCAAGTTTTGTTTGGAGATGATTGTAGTGAAGCATTGGAGGAGGTAGAACAAGTGCTGTTCACTCATAGTGAGAAGTTGGCACTGTGTTTTGGCCTAATAAGCACACCATCTGGTTCTCCTTTACATATTTTCAAGAACCTGAGGATATGCCTAGACTGTCATTCTGCTATTAAGATTGCCTCTGATATATACGAACGCGAAATTGTTGTCCGAGATCGTTATCGTTTTCATACTTTCAAGCATGGTTCTTGTTCTTGCTCTGATTATTGGTGAATGACCGTTTTTCACATATATTTAATAGTTTAATTTTCTTCTTTTCATTGTAATTAACTTAAATAAAGAAAAGTCATGTTGGATTATACTGGAATAAGAAAACAAAAATGTCTTAATTGCACCAAAACCTCACGCTATTATTGCTTGCCAAACATGCCAACTTTGAATTCATGCAAGCTTTGTTAAGTCTTAATCATACCAAATCACATGTATTTAAAGAATTAATTAATTAATTACAATTAATCAGGAGGAGTAATTTACAGATGAAAATTGAATGACATTATTATGATCCATTGATGAACAACATGTTTAGACTGGATTCTTCTTTGATTTGTATCTCTTGAAACTATTATAGTCTGCCAGTAATCTACCATGAAATTCCTGCTTCATTTCATTCCACATTGTTTGGAAAATCTGTTTAATCAAATTAACCAATCAAAAACATGTTTACCTAGATGTTAATATATATGAAGAAAGATAAATAAACCATTCTAACCAATTCTAATGCATCTTGTAAGACATGTTCAGGTACAAAAACCATTGCTGGTGAAACAATAAAGCTTATTTTCATCTCCATTTGATTCTTGAGCCAACTACGTTTTCCGCTTCTTTCCGGATGTATAGTACCTCTTACATCTAAACTGAAATGGTAAGGATCATTGTAAAAGTTATTCAATCCTTGAAGCTCCCACTTCATCTGTAACGATATTTTATACTATCAGTTATACTCATCACAGATCAACAAAAATGTTCAATTTAGATATCCGATCATTGATTGCTTACAAAGTGAAGTTCAAGAACTTTGGTAATATGATTAGGAATATGAGGTGGATAATCTTCACCATTAGACTTAAATCTCAACCTTACATCTGCTGTTGGCTCAACATTCATGAATAAGCATTGTATTGGAGGCATTTTAACTCTCCATTCTTCCTACATAAAAACACATTCACGCATTTATCATATTAATAGCAATTGAATCGAGATCAGACCGTCCAAATTTTAAAATTGATATTTTTAGCTAACAAAATTTAGATGGTCTGATCTCATCAATGATCACACAAACATAATTTCTTACAAAATATCTTACTTCATTGAGTTGTTTGGTTTTTCCTTTGTCAGGAAATACTGCTCTGAAAACTCTAACCTTATCATCCATATATTGATCAAAAGAAGCCTAAAAAAAATCACAAAAATGATTGTTAGAAAAATATTGAATTTTGAATTGGAAGATGAAGATGGTAAGGATGAAAAGTCTGATATACCCCTGGCAATTCATTGAGTGGAACATTAACAGTGGTTCTATAATTGAATGAGGAAGTTTTTTCATTCCTAATCACTCTATATGACGCTGTTTTTGCAAGGAAATGACTACTTAACCTATGATTTTTTAGGACTAATAAGGGTTGCTTAGGAACCATAACTATGCTTGCCATAATATTAATATGATTGACGCAATAATCTATTTTTAGGCTTTTATAGAATTTCCAAGGTATATTATTGCGTGCACACTATTCTCCGTTTGTTCTTATATATATTAAATTAGGTTGAGTTTTTTCATCAAAAAATATAATTAAAAAAAGGTTGAAATGCTTAATATTTAGGTGAACTATAAACTATAATTGACTAAAAAGATAAATCAATCCAAAAGGCAAGTTATCAGTTGGTTTCTACATTAGTCACTATTTCTGAGTAATTGACTAGAAAGATAAATCAGTTAATTATATTTTTGATAATACATACGTGTATTATTAAGCAACTTCGGTTGGATAACTTTGCAATTATTGATATATAATAAGTGTAATATTAATATAGCATAAGCATGGGTCAAAAATCTCCAAATTTGGGTTTGTTTTAATCTTACTAGGGCAAGTCCAAATCTCATAGTTTTTTAAAATAAAAATTCTAGGATAAAGGTTAATTTGTATTAGTATATACTTTTAGTGGTTTTTTTTAAGTACTTTCCAATGTAAACCAAATATTTAAATAATAAGTTTGTTAAGATATTTTAGAATTAATTATGGGTTGTATACGTGGTTTGGTATATAAAGACTACACTTGTCTTTTGATAAATGGTTGCGTGTAGACAACAAAAGTGTATGATTTAGGATTCGTTAATTTGTTATGTAGTATCAAGAATAGGTTGCCAACCCCAACACATATGGAGACAATATTAATTTTAAATAAATTTTTATTAATTTCATTTTTAAAATAATTTAATTCAAATACTTTTTATTAAGATTTTTAAAATTTTAGAATGTACTCGGGCTGATCGAAAGTGGCAGCAGTCCCGGACTAGAGAAAACAACGATTTGTTCAATCACTTGTAAATAAGCGTATTATTTTAGAGAAGAGTGTAAGAAATTATTGTCTAAAATAAGTTCAACAGGTCCTTATATTTCACGTTTAAAAAATAATGTGCGGTTATAACTGTATCTATATATAAATGAAAAATGCAGTATTTTTCAAGTATATAATTTTAAATTCAAACTTTATTCCCTCATCTATCTCACATAATAACATAAGAGTTGGACCGCTAATCTTACAGGTTAGCTCTTCCTTCATCACATCAGAAGTTTAAGTCCATTGTTATATACTACAACCTCCATTCTATGATCAATTATGGTTCCTTAACGGAATAATGACGTTGTATATGAGAATCAACTTCTGATTCATGCGTTTTCCACGATTGAACACTCTCACTTCAATTCATCGATTCAAAGCTTTCTCCACCTAGAAAATCACATTTTCTGAGATTGAGCTTCAGATCCGATGTTTTGATCTATTCCAATAGCAGACCGACTCTGCTTTTCAAAATCTCCAAATCTATGATATATAGATCTTTTGATAATGGTTGAATCTAAAGCCACCAGTTCAGCCGCGTTGCGTGAAACTGTCGTTGCTTTCCAAGCCGCTAGAAATCAACTGCCTCCTCCTCAAGGCAATGTGGATCAAAGTCGTTTTAAACACTCTGTTACATCCAGATCTACTCCAGCATCCTTAGATTGTAGGATTTTCTCTATAATCCCAACAAAGCGAGCCTTCGCTCAAACCTTAAATACCACTACTAGCCTCAAGACTGAAAGCATTTCCTGGTTTCTAGTTGTTGTAGGCTAGCCTGAGAATATAAGGCGCGAATGAGTTGTTGAATAATATGTATAACATGTTACATATAAAACTCGAATGCGATAGAAGAAAGATTTCTTCTTCTAGAAGAAAGCTTACATAACGCGCCTTTGAAGCGGAGCACCTTGCAGGGAACCATTTCCAAGAGAAGATAACTATTATACCAAAGACGGTTGCATCACGGAGAGATGAAGTTCCGAAGTCTTCGAATCACCATGAGAGAAAAGTATGGAAAACTCCTCCTCAAAGACCCACGGGATACCGGGAAAGTCATGTTCCTCCTCAGAAACAAGTAGAGAAACCTTCGATGAAGAACCCGCAAAAGCATCCTTTTTGTGCCTGCGTCCTGGATAGCCAAATACCAAAGTCGTTAAGAAAGCTCTAAAAATGAAGAAGTACCACGAGAAGAGAGATCTCGATAAGCACATACAACTTAGTGATGAACATTTAGACTACTTCCATGATGATTGTGATATGAGTGATTAGTATTTTATAAAAACACAAGGGTGTTTTCAAAAAGTAATGTACCTAAATAACACACTCACTAAAACTATTTTTAAAGCCTCTGTTTCTCAAACAAAATTAACTAAAAATGTTTTGGAGTCCATCCAAATGAATTCGAAACTGTCAGAATGATTAGGACATGTGTTTTACTAAAAACACGTTGGAAAGCCACGTTGTGTATTTCTTATTAGTTATGAACTCGACTTTTAAGAGTTATTCGATGTACCTTTTGGTCTCTTCGGTCTTCTCTGGTGACTATTCCTTCTAAATTGTTCCCCACATATAGAACATTATCCCGAAGGGATAGGGTGTGATAGGCCACCTCGGGAATGTGAATTGGAATCTCATTTGTTTACCATGCAAATACATCATGATTTATTTGTAAAGACTCTATTAATTAGTCATGTACCGACTTGGGTATGCCTGCTCCAATTTGCACGCCTTTCAAAGGATCCCCCTTTATAGAGATTTTAATGAAATCCCCTAGTGGTTTTGATCTTTCCACATTCTTCATTTCTTCTACAAACATTACCTCGTTATCCCCAATGGTTTTTCTATGGAGAAATTCTTTATTTCGAGTGTCTAAATCCACCACCCCCTCGAGATTCTTGCCCGAGGAAAAGCTCTCTTCTGGTGAGCATTGTTTGGCTAAGAGGATCAAGAAACACATATGGAATAAAGATAAATATTTCTCTAGCACCACGACATGATCCTCCATTGAATGGACTTTCGTATTAAGGTGAATGATTGGTGAGACGAAGCCTTGGTTTACCAATGTGATCCCCCTAAAATACAATGGTAGACAGAGGTGCAATCGATAACTAGAAAATTTACCTTAACAATTATCTATTCTTCAACTCAAATTTCGTCAGAAATGTAGTTATCCTAAAGGTTCTGTGTTAGCTCCATAGAAACCTTTGAGGTTCCTTTTGAGGTATTGTTGTAATGTCAATTGTATGCCTAGTTTAATGTACATTTTGTTGTACATGATGTTGGACAAATTCCCTTGGTTTACTAACAAATGTCAAATGTTGTGCCCTGCCATTACTATACTGATGAGGATGGATATATGGTGGTTTTGAATATGCATGATTGATCAACATGCCACCATAAAATGATAGTGGATATGCCTTTCATTGGCTAGAGAGTTCTTAAGTAGAGAATTTATGTAAAGATATTTCCTCAAGAAAAAGTAACACCTCTAAGCAAAAGGTGGTGGATCACTGATAAGAACAAGAGATCAGAGAAAATCACCTTTTTTTTAAACCTTTAAGAGGTAATTTTGTGGGTAAATTTTCTAAATTTACATGTGATTTCCTGTTGACGCATGTTATAGTGGAGATGTCCTCCTACATGTTAAGTATTCTTCAGATTTATTAACGAGTGATTCGAGGGGGGAGTTAGGCTTGGGTCTTCTCCCATTATTGCTGGAATTTTACCGGGAAGGGTAAAATGAGAAGTGTTTGTACCACTGTGTACCATCTGATTGCAAGGCAATGAAAAAAGAATCATATTTAAAGCAATTCCCACATACGAGACAAATGTTCCGATATGAACTTGAGGGGATTGATGGTAGACTTATTTGTCTACATGAGATGGTGCATTCTGCTAGTTAACAAATATTTGATGAATGGACATGTAACACCCCAAAAAACTAGATTAATTATTTAATTAATTTAGTATGAATATCAATGATTATTGGTGAATATATGAATTATGGCAAATTAGTCGATGTGGTGTATTTGTATGAGTTGATAGATTTTATGATGTGATGTGATGTGATGTGATGTGATGTGATGTGATGTGATGTGATGTGATGTGATGCATTTGTTGATGATGATATGTCTTAGAAATTATAGAAGTTAAGGTGTTAAGGGTGTATGACCGAAATTATAGAACCATGAGGGTGTGGTGAAAAGACTAATAATCGTTTTATTATTATTATTATTATTATTATTATTATTATTATTATTATTATTATTATTATTATTATTATTATTATTATTATTATTATTATTATTATTATAGATACAAGTTATTTATAATATTAGTAATTAAATAATTAATTAAAAATAAGGAAGGGAAATATGGGGTTATTGATATTAGTGGTCTAAAGAGATAGAGAGAATCATTACTCTCAATCGATCGTAGGAACCAGAGAAGACGGAAAAAGAGCGCTTTTGGTAGAAGAGGAGAAAATGAAGAACCTAGGGCTAAAGGGAAGACTCCATTGGAGAAAGGAAGATAACTCAAAACCTAAGGTAAGGGTGAGGTTCTAACTCTATAAGGGTTTGTATGATGATGGGTTATAGTAGAGTTATGTTATGTAATTAAATGTCATCTTTATGAGAATTGGGTATTTTATGTGATTTATCTATGTGACAATTGTTGATGATGAATGAGTGTGAAGTTCTTGCATTTGATGTTGTATAAATGAAGTTGATTGATGAGTGATGTTTGGGTGTAATTGATATAACAATGATTTTTGATTTGGATGAAAGAATCACTTAATTTAAGTACTAAATTATGTTTTTATGTGAATTAAAATGGTTGGTATTGAGGTATGAATGTGAGAAGTTCAATTATAAACATTAACAATATAGTAGGTGGAAGTTAGACATGTTTACCAGACAAATAAGTGATTTTCGTAACATAATATGATTTTTTTAATTTTAGAATAGTGGGAATCGGTTACCATATATGGGTACTCGGTTACCACTCGAAAACTAGCGTTTTTGACCATTTTGACAGGGGGTAATCGATTACCATATACAGGTACCTGAATACCCTATTGAAACTGACAGAT